CTCTCCTGTCGACCCCTTTTTTGAAAAAAATTCTTTTTTTTTTTTTTTTTTTTTTTTTTCCGGCAAACACCCAGCGGGCAAAAATCTCTCAGAGGGACTTTTTTTTTTTAGTTATTAATATTTTTTCTTTTGCCTGCATAAAGACTGCGGGATGAGACCCTATGCAGAGAGAATAAGGCACTTTGAAAAGAGACAGCCATGCTCATTCTGTTATTTATTCTACATATTTTTGTTGTTGTTGCTAATAATCGAGACACGAGTAGTCTCAGTTGATCAGTATTAAATCGGTGAATCTCTGTTGGCAATATTTGCCATATAGATTTTTTTTTTTTTTTTAGTTAACCTTTGTAAATTTTAAACCGATCATGATCTCTGTGTAAAGACAATCCTCCATATGTTTTTATAGAAATATATATATAATGAAGGATTATTCCCCTCCCTCCCCCCTCGATATTTTTTTTTTTTTCGCCCTAACTTTGTCCAGTTCGGTGACACCTATTTTAATTCTTTCTGCACTGTATAAAATTGTAATTATGTGGTGGTTTTTTTTTTCGTCCTGCCCTTTTGTGTACGTTTTGTCCCTAAAGAAAAAAAAAAATCGAACCGAAATAAAACATGTATGTTATTTGTACATGGGCTTCACGATTGTATGAGCAGCAAATAAAGGAGCATGCGGTGTAACACGCGTAATTATATCTCGGGAGTCTGTGGGCTCCGCGGAGCGCTGCGCAGGGCGCGGAGGGGCCGCGGAGCGGAGGGGCCGCCCGCTGCAAACCTGCCTGCGTTTGGGGCGATCGTTTCCCAGCTCGGGGCGGGCTCGAAAGGGCGTTTTTGGGGGTTTGCCTGCGGCTTCCGAGGGACCCTGTGTCCCGGGTCCCCCCCCCATTCGCTGCGCGGAAATATTTAAAATCTGGATAATGAGAGGAGGAGGGAGGAAAAGCGGAGGGGGCGTTTTTCGGGCAGCCCGAGCCGCCCATCCCCGCGGCCTCGGCCCCGGCTCCGCGCAACCTCCGCTGGCAGCGGCCGCGCCGAGAACCGCGCTAAAGCTTCCCAAGGCTTTTTCCCCGCGTGGAAAAAATCATCATCATCATCAAACCCAAGCAGATAAAACTCCTGCACCATCACCGTCCTGCGCTGGGCAGCGATAAATTCGCAGCGAGGGGAGAGCGGGCAGCGGGGAGGCAAACCCGGCTCTTCTGAAAAATAGGTCTTTTCCTGCAAAGTTTGGGTTTCTTTGGTTTAATTCAGGATACTACCACATCCAGGAAATTTTGCTTTAATCCGTGGGCCGGTATGTCTCTATCAACACTCATACTGCAAATATACACGCACAGCAAAAATAGATGCACGTGAATTAGTCTGATTATTGGCTGTGTATTTCTGTCTTTGTACAGGGAAATTAGGTTACTGCACACTAATTAGCCCAGCTGTGTGTAATCAGCTTAATTAAAAGCAAAGGTAGCTGGTAACAACAAAAATAAATCTAATTATTCTTTTAATTAAGGCAGGTGGGAAAGGCTTTATCAGAGTTGGTGGAGGCCTTTCTTGGAGCAGGGGTTTTTGTTGTTGTTTTGGGGGGGAATTGGTTTGGGGAGGGCTTTTTTCTTTTAAGCATAGGTCTGTTTAAGCTAGCTGTAATGAACCTGCAGTAATTATTGGGGTTTCCCTGGTTTTATGCCTTTATGGATTGATCCTTCCCTCCGTCGCCTGCACCGTGCCCGTCGCTGTTGGAGGTGAGCCGCGTTGTTACCGTCCTTTTTTATACACAAGCTGAAGACTGAGATTTTTGCTCCCGAAGCACAGATTTGCGCTAGCTGTGGCTGAGGTAAAGGTCCAGGGTTAGGGGTTCAGCCTCTGCCAAGTGGTTTTTCCTTCCCTGAAATCTCACTGTCGCTCCTGAGCTTCGTTTTCATCCCTCAGATTAATTTTGGACTCGTTTGCGTGCAGGACCGATGCCTTCACGGCCTGGCCTCCGCCAGGCTGGAAAGGGCAGGCAGGCACCTTGCGAGCCTCAGGTCCGGCTTGAAGGGGTTTGATATCTGGCCCCCAACAAAGGTTTACACGATTCATTTTTCTCCCTCCCGTCGGTTTCCAAACCTGGAAAAACAGAACCACCGCATACCGTGGACGCCACATATTCCTCAAGCCAGTGAGCGCAGTCTAAACAGACAGCTCTCCATCTCAGACACCTACACCAGGGAGGAGAGGGTGAAACCCCCCAGGCTCCTGCCCCCAGCCCTTATTCTGCACAAGGCAAACTTGATTTTTTCCCTGCATATATCGTCCCGGGGATGGCAAACAGCCTAGCCGCTATCGCAAGCGGTCGCTTTGTACAAGCTCCGCTCGCACGTTTGCGGGATCGGTTGGGCTCTGGTAGGAGGCGAGGAGAAATAAGCTTGCTCAGAAGTGCTGTGGGAGCCCTGTAAGAGGAGATGAGACATAGGCTCGCTCAGAAATGTGGTATTTGCTCACGTAAGGGCCTGGATCTTCCCCGGTCAGCTGCTGTGTGTTCAGTATCAGCGATCTGCTCACTGCTCCTCGTCACCCACTTCCCAATCCGTAGGTGATACAACAACGCCCTTTTCTTGGGGTTTTGGGGCATTTCTGCTATAGGAAAGAATTTCTCATTGCAGACGCCCTGCGCAGGCCCATGAGTTTTCGACAGGGCTGAAAATCTGGAGCAGAACAAAACAGGGAAACAGGACCTGGTGTTGCCACCTGGATTGGGCGTGAGATGAACCCCTGGCTCGGGGGACCTGGGGGTCCCCAGGCGTGCTGCACCCATGGCAAGGACTGGGATGGCTGCTTCCCTCTGCGCCTTCCCTGGGTGCTTCCTCCCATCCTTGCAGGGCCACCGCCGGGCTGGAGCTCCGCATCTGTCACCTGCCCCTGGGCTTGTGTCCCCATGGGGGCACAGGGTCGGGTGTGGGGGGCGCAGCGCGGGGTGATGCAGGGATCCCAAAGCAGGACCCCCCGCAAAAGGAGATGGGGGGCTGGGTCCCTGCTGGGAGAGGTG